CCCGCCTCTATATTTTTTTTGATAGTAGGGATTGAATCCAGGAACCACTGAACTATATCTCTAGCACTTTCAATTTTTGTTTGTTTGTTTGTGATTTTTTTTTTTTTTTTCCGGAACCGGAAATCGAACTCATGACCTTGCGCTTGCCAGGCAAGCGTTGTGCCGCTGAGCTAAATCCGCTGAGTTGCCTAGACTGGCTTCACATTTGATCCTCTTGCGTTAGCCTCCTGAGTTGCTAGAATTCCAGGTGTACAAGACTACTCCCTGCTTGAAATTGAATCTTTAACTGATTTCAGGAGAACCTCTTAATCCTTCTGGGCTCACTTTCCTTATTTATATAATAAAGCAATTTCTTTTAGTGCTTTCATTTGGAAGCCTTCATTTTATTTATTTATTTTATTTGGGTTTGTTTGTTTGGTTGGCTTCAGGCAGGGTCTCTCCACATAGTTCAGGCTACCTTTGAACTTACTATATACCACAGGCTGGCCTTCAACTCAGGGCAGTCTTTGTGCCTCAGCTTTCCAGGTGCTGGGATGATGGGCATGTGCCACACCTGGCTGGAAGCCTTAATTTTTAACTGGGGGGTGGAGGGATAAGTGGTTTATATGTAATTTAAAATAGCAGCACATTTAACTAACTACTTTTTTGTAGATCATGGGGGGGAAGCGGCTACTGTGTATGCTACTGGTTCTTGGAGCTGCTGCTGTTCAAGCTCATGATGGACATGACGAAGATATGATTGACATTGAGGATGACCTTGATGATGTCATTGAAGAGGTAGAAGACTCAAAATCAAAACCAGATACCAGCACTCCTCCTCCATCTCCAAAGGTTTGATTTTAAAGTTTTATTTATTTATTGGTGAACCCAGGGCTTTCACATTGAGCTATATCCCTATCCCTTTTTAAAAAACTTTTTACTTTGAGAATTGCCTTGGCTGGACTCCAGCTTGCAGTCCTCCTAAGTGCTGGGATTACAGGTGTGCTGCCATGCCCAGCTCTCCTTTTACCTCTTGAAATCATGGGGATATGGTGTTACTGGTATAGCTCAGTGGTAGAATGTTTGCCTGGCGTGCACAAGGCCCTGGGTTTAGTCCCTAACATGGAATGAAATAAAAATGAAGTGATGAAGATAAATTTGAATTTTTTGTTTTTAAAATTTTTAAAAATTATTATTTTTTGACACAGTCTCAATATGTAGTTTAGGCTGGTCTTGATCTCATTATGTAGCCCAGGCTGGCCCTCAAACTTGCAATGATCCTCTTGCCTCAGCCTCCTCAGGGCTGGGATCACAGGCTGCACCGCCTTGCACAGTATTTGGATCCTTTTCAATGGAAAAGCAAAGTTTGCCCAGAGACGTAGTAATCTGTCACGCAGCCTTGCTGTATCTTGAATTCAAGGGGCTGCTTTTGAAAGTTTTGGGACAATTAAAGCCAAACCAAAAAAAGTAATTCTAAGGAATGTTGCTAAACACACCTTTTATGTTTAACACAGGTTACCTATAAAGCTCCAGTTCCAACAGGAGAAGTTTATTTTGCCGATTCCTTTGATAGAGGATCTCTGTCAGGGTAAGTATCTGGTAAGGAGAAAAGTCTTAAGAGGCAAACATTATGAGACTGAGATGGAACTGTGGAGCCCTTTTGAGTAGATGGCATTTTGTCGGGTGAAATGTGTGGCTTTTATGTCTGCAGTGTTTACATCCATTCAGGAAAACAGAGCAGGCTTTTGGAACTTGTGACTCCTTGCTTCCATTCCCTTCCTTCTCCCTCTTCACCCTAGATTGTATTGTTTTGGAAACTTCTTTTTCTCTTAAGTCCTTCAAAGAAATTACCTCGTGGTATTGGTATTTTTTCTTACAGGTTTGTGGATGGAATACAATGTGTTACCATTCCTGTGTGACAGATTTGAAAGTTGAAAGTAGAGTGGCAGACTAGACTAAGAAGCCAGGGCAGACCCTGCATTTTTCCTGAGCATTCATACTGTTTCTTTTCACAGTTGAGCTGTCACTTGAATCTTAATTTTGGGGTTTGTCTTGATTACAGGTGGATTTTATCCAAAGCCAAGAAGGATGACACTGATGATGAAATTGCCAAGTATGATGGTGAGAAGTCCGTTTGGCCTCCATCCAGCAGCGAGTGAGGGGCACGTTGTCTCCGTGGTGTCACTTAGGACTGCTTTGGCTAGGCGTAGTGCGCACTCCTGTAATCTCAGCACTAGGGAGGCTGAGATAAGAGTGTCACAACTGAGCCCAATTTGAGCAGTTTAGCAAGACTATGAAAAGATGAAAAGGTCACTGTGATGGTGCATGCCTGTAATCCCCTCACTTGGGAGACTGAAGCAGGAGGATTGCCACAAGTTCCAGGCTGGCTTGGATTACATAGTGAGGCCAGGGCCAGCCTGAGCTACATAGCAAGACCCTTTCTCAAAAATGAAAACAAAACTAAAAAGAAAAGGGCTGGGGATGTGGCTTAGTGTGAAGCCCTAGGGTTCAATCCTCAGTACTGGGGAAAAAACTTCATCATTTAAGGGAGGCATGGTTTAAGGCTTTCGAATTGTGCCTTCTTAGGTTGCCTTTGACGTGACAGGGCTTAACCTCTTTAATAACCTTGTGGTGCTTCATATTTGAAATGGAAGGTCTTGAGCCAGGTATGGTGGTGCATGTTTGTATTCCCAGTACTTGGGAGGACAGCCTGAACTGCATAGCAAGACCCTGTTTCAAACAAACAAACAAAAAAGAAATGGAAGGTTTTTTTACTGGGCAGTGGTATAAAGGATATACTGTATTTTTAAAAATACTGTATCCTGTTTTTCAAATATACATGTGCTTATTATTAATAACAACTTTCACAGATAAGAGGCATATGTTAAAAATTCATCAGGATGGTAGAATTGGAGTTTAGTTTGTTACCATTGAAAAGACCTTCAGAGATGCTGTGAAGGGGTGGAGAGCATGTCTGTGTTGTCTTGCAGGACAGTGGGAGGTAGACGAAATGAAGGAAACAAAGCTTCCAGGAGACAAAGGACTTGTGTTGATGTCTCGGGCCAAGCATCATGCCATCGCTGCTAAACTGAGCAAGCCCTTCGGATTCGATGCTAAGCCTCTCATTGTTCAGTAAGTGAATGCTTGTTTGGTAAAAGCCATCTCAAAGAAGTAATCTTAGAAATTTTTCATTTTATTGAAAGAAGCAAATACCATTACTTGAAAAATTTTAGATTATGTAAATTATAGTAGGGTTATTCAAGTGAATGCAAGCATCTGAAGATTTTTTTCTGCTCATTAGAATATTTTGAAACTGGTCATTTATCCTCCTGGTAATGAACGAATGTCTGGGTTTTGCAAAAATTAATTTAATTAATATTACTTACCTTTGTTGGATTGAGTAGCTGTCTAAAAGTAATAGAATGTAGAATCATTCTTTTTTTTTTTTTTTTTTTTGGGTTTTTCTCCGGTACCGGGAACCGAACTCACGATCTTGCGCTTGACAGGCAGGCGCTTTGCCGCTGAGCTAAATCCCCAGCTCCTGTAGAAATCATTCTTAAAACATGACCTGCGGAAGAATGTGGCTGGGATGGGGGAAAACTAGATTTGTTCTTCCAAAATGCCATTGGTTTTTCTGCTTTTCTTTGTGAAACTAGGTATGAGGTTAATTTCCAAAATGGAATAGAGTGTGGTGGTGCATATGTGAAACTTCTTTCCAAAACACCAGAACTCAACTTGGTAGGTACATTTGTGTTTTTAATGTGACTAGCCACTCATAATTTTTTAAAAATAATCTTAGCAGGGAAAAAAAAGAAAAATTTGTAAGATCTATGAAAATAAAGGCCAACTGCTTTCTGCTGACGCCTTTAGAAGGTTTAGCAATACTGCTTCTGATACTAATTTACTTTTTATGTGAAATGTGACTTTTAAAGCTATTTTCAAATGTTTTTATCCTGTCCCTGGTTTCTTTTGTGTAACTGTGTAAGTCCTAGCTTATATCTTCTTGGGTTTTTTTTGTTCATTTGTTTTGTTTTTCTTCCTGTACCAGGAATCGAATTCATGACCTTGTGCTTGCTAGGCAGGCGCAATATCTTCTTGTTCTGTGAAAGGCAGTAACTAAGCTGGGTGCAGTGGTATTCACCTGTAACCCCAGCACTCTGGGAGGCTGAGGCAGGTGGGATCCCGCATGACTATCTCAGAACATAAAGCACTGGGAATGTGGCTCAGTGCAAAGGCCCTGGGTTCAATCTTTAGTACTGGGAGGAAAAAATAAACGTGTGTATTACATTGTTCATAAGCTTGTAAATATATTACAAGCTTTCTGATGATTACTGATTATTCCTTTTCAGTGGTATCAAAAATTTTACAACATAATCAGCTTTTTCTTTAACTGTGACTAGAGTTTTATAAGACAAAGTGTCCTTTTTTTTTTAGTGTCATATACTTTTGAAAGGTTGCATTTGAATATGTCAACTAGAGCTGCTTAAAAGTAATTTGTCTTTGTTTTTGAAGGATCAGTTTCACGACAAGACCCCCTATACAATTATGTTTGGTCCGGATAAATGTGGAGAGGACTATAAGTTACACTTCATCTTCCGCCATAAAAACCCCAAGACAGGTGTATATGAAGAAAAGCATGCCAAGAGGCCAGATGCAGACCTGAAGACATATTTTACTGATAAGAAGACCCATCTTTACACCTTAAGTAAGAAAACCTGTTGTTGGGGGTTTAAAGCACTATGAATTAATCATTTAATGTACAGATTATTGCTTATCTGGGCAGTACTCAAGTCTGCAAACGAGATTCTTGCCAATGTGGTGTAGTGCACACCTGTAATCCCAGCTGCACGGGAGGATAACAGGAGGATTAAGAGTTAGAGACTGGCCTGAAGCTGAGGCAGGAGGAGATCACTTCAGTTTAAGGCCAGGCTGGGCTACCTGTTGAGTTCAAGGCCAGCCTGAAATACATAATGAGGCCCTGTCTCCAAAAACCAAACAAAGAGTTGAGGACTGGGCTGGGAAATTTAGGGAGACCCTGTCTCAAAGTACAGTTTTAAAAATGGGCTAGAGAGTTTCGCATAGTGGTGGGATGCATACAGAACGCAGTGCTTAGTGCACTGGAGGCTCTATGGAGTTCAAGCCCTGGTGTTGCAAAAATGAGTCTTAACTTACCTGCCTTAGTGGTGGGATGAGCTTGGCAGCATGAAAAGGTGGTTCTATTCAAGGTTGGCTGAGGAGTGAGGTGGAGACAAATTCAGAGCGAGCTTTCAGAGGGGTGGGGTGGTCAGTGGTAGGGCACTTGCCTCGAATGCAGGGAGCTGTGGCTTCATCCCCAACACCACAAAAACTCTTCTGTCCTATTAACAGCGTCTTCACTAGTCCGCTCAGTTTATGTGTTTATCTGGTCTCTTGCTGGGAGAATGAAGCAGTGGGACATAAAATAGAGAAATATATGTAGCTTCTAGTTGTCTTTTAGCTGAACTCTCTTTGGATGCTCTAACACCTGGACAGTTCAGATTAATCATCTGGACACTGCGTCGTTCTTGAGCTTTTTATTCTTTCGTCCATCCCTCTCTCCCTCCCTCAATTGACTGAAACTGGTTCTCCACTGTGTAGCCCAGGCTGGCCTTGAACTCACAGCAATCCTCCTGCCTCAGCTTCTCAAATGCTGCCATTATACCTGTGTGCTACCATGCCCAGCATTTTTTGTTTTTTTTAAAATGAAACTTCCTGTGGCTTTGAGATCATGTATAGACATGGCTCTTTTAAGAATATAGGGGCTGGGTATTTAGCTCAGCGGCAAAGGGCCTGCCTGGCAAGCGCAAGGTTGTGAGTTCGGTTCCTGGTACCGGAGAAAAACGAAGAAAAAGAAAAAAAAGAATATAAAAACTTTTTTTCTTTATTACCAAAGCAAGACATATTGAAGATACAGAAATCCAGAATATAGAAATAAGCAGAAAGATACACTTACAGTTGTCTGAAATAGCAAGATGTGTTTCTTCCTATATATATAAACCAAGACATGTAGCGTTGTATAAAAAGTTAAATATGGGGGCTGGGGATTTAGCTCAGCGGCACAGCGCCTGCCTGGCAAGCGCAAGGTCGTGAGTTCGATTCCTGGTACCAGAAAAAAAAACCCCCAAAAGTTAAATATGTTGTATTTGCTTTCTTCTGGGAGTGTCCAGGGCCACTCTGTAATACAGCTACATCCTCAGCCCTTTTTATTTTTTATGTTGGGACATGTTCATACTAAGTTGATTGACTAAACTGGAGCTTGTAATTCTTCTTCATCCTCCTAAAGAGCTTAGATGATAGGCGTGCATCGCATACCTGGCTTTAACTTGCTTTCTTTTTGCTTCTGTTTTTTGAGACAGGATCTCACTGTAAGAGTCAGACTGGCTTTGAACTCACGATATACCCCAAGCAGGCTTCAAACTCATGGTGATCCTCCTGCCTCACCTTCCCGAGTGCTGGCTTTAACTTGCTTTCTTAAGTATACAAGCTTGTGAGGATCTTTCTCACAACAGTATATATTTCATTATTGTTGATATCTTGCACTGGGGAGACGGAGGCAGGAGGATTGAAAGTTCAAGGTCAGCCTGGGCTACATAGTGAATCCGGCTAACCTGCACTATACTGTACATACAGTGAGATCCTGTCTCAAAAAACAAACAAAAACAAAGGAACAGAAAAAACTTTAACTGCTGACTGATGTACACCAGTGCATGTCAGACCAATAATTGCATTAGTTTACATAGGTTCTCCCCCCAGCCCTCCGTACCAGGAATCGAACTCAGGACCTTGCGTTTGCCAGGCAGGCGCTGTGCTGCTGAGCTAAATCCCCAGCCCCTACATAAGTTCTTGATGTTTTTGATGCCCATAAATGAGTTTTTGTGTTAAAAATTTTAACTATCATTTATATAAAATCCTTAGAAACCTGAGGAGATATCATTTACACTTTGCAGAGTTCTGCTGAGCTGAGCATTGTGGTGCGTGCCTGTACAGACCTTCCTCGTTTAATGACTGAGATACACTCCCACAACCGTGTTGCTAGAGGAAGAAGTGTGTGTGGTATATTTGTTAAAATATTCAGAACAAAGAAATGGTCAAAGAAAACTCCAACTTGATTTTACTTTCATTTGCCTAGCTCTTACAAATAGTACTATAACATATTTAAGAACATGAAACTGTAGTATTATACTGTGCAAAACGGCAAAAATCATAGTACCATATAGAGGTATAGTGCGTGGAAAAAGATACTGAGGCTCTATAAACAAGATGTATAGAACTGTACAAAAAAGGCAGGTTATCAGTCCCAGCAGTTGTCGGCCTGGTGGGTTATTAAATGAGGAGCATCTGTAATTCCGGTTTGGTAGGTAGAGGGTAGAGGATTGCAAGTGGAGGCCAGGTTAGACTACAGAGTGAGACTCCAGTTTGAAAGCTACCCTACCATGGGAACAAACAAAAAAACGAAAAAAAAACTAGGAACCAGGCACTGTTGGCCATGTTCTGACCCCAGTACCTTAAATCTTTTCTTCATGCTTTCACACGCTTGCTTTTCTTTAGAAGTCATGCTTTTTATTTTGTAGTGGCTGGAGCTTGAGAATGAGTAGTTCATTAAATGTTTTAATTATATTTATCTTTTTTACAGTCTTGAATCCGGACAATAGTTTTGAAATATTAGTTGACCAATCTGTTGTGAATAGTGGCAATTTACTAAATGACATGACACCACCTGTAAATCCTTCTCGAGAAATTGAGGACCCAGAAGACCAGAAGCCTGAAGACTGGGACGAACGGCCCAAAATACCCGATCCAGATGCTGTCAAGCCAGAGGACTGGTGAGCCTTGGTGACCCAACTTGGAGGGTGATGGGGCACTTTGTGCCTCCCACGTGGCTTGCACAGGCAAATGTTGGGGGCCTGTGATCTGACCGTTCCAACATTTTAGGGTATAGTCTTCTTCAGAAGATACAGTTTGTTCTAGCTGAAAAAGGGCCACAGTGATCATCTAGATTTTCTCACTGATTTATAAACCGCAGAATGAAGTTGGTAAGAGTACACTTGTAGGAGAATCACTTAGCCTAGCCATTCCAGTGCTTTTTTGTTTGTAACTGTTGTTTGGGGGGGGATTGAACCAAAAAAGCCTATGTGTGCTTAAACATGTGCTCTGCTACTGAGCTATGCCCTTAGCCTCACCAATGCTGTGAATGCACTTTCTTTTTTTTTTTTGATACTGGGAATCAAACTTAGGACCTTGTACTTGCCAGGTAGGCACTTGTGCTGCTGAGCTACATCCCCGGCCCTGATTCCACTTTTAAAGCTAAAGTCCTTAAATGTTAAAAGTTTAATATGAAAGACCATCTTTTTCTTCTTTAAAACTACAGGATCTCTGCTTTGTTAAATTTTGATTAATTTTATTCCTCTTTGAAAGTTAACCGTATGTGTCCCTGCACTGTCATGATACCCTACCGCAGTGCTGTTTATTTGTACATGTGATGAACACTAGGTCTGGGCTCAGCTTTGTTCATTATTGTGTTCCCTTACTAGCTGTTTTGTTTGGGAATTGGAATGGTGAGCCCTTTAAAGGGATAAAGTGAGGGCTCAACACACCTGTAATGGGGCAGGCGGCACACACCTGTAATCCCAGCACTGTGGGGAGGCTGAGTCAGGAGGATGACTGCCAGTTCAAGGCTAGCCTGGGCTACATAATGGAACCTGTCTAAAAACAAAAGCAGAACAGTTGAGTGTGAAACACATTTTTGAGGTTTTCACAGTTAAAACTAAACTGGTTATAAAACAAGTAGTCCGGGCTGGGCATCTTGCCTAGTGGTAGTGCACAGGAGGAATCTCTGGCACTGAAAAACAAACAGGTAAACTGACCAAGGATAAAAGGCAATCTTTGGTTAGCAACTGAAGTGGCACTGTCTTACAGCAATTACACCAGACTTTGAACGAACTCACTCACTCTCTCTCTCTCTCTCTCTCTCTCTCTCTCTCTCACACACACACACACACACACACACACACACACACACACACACACACACTTTCTTAATGTTAAGATCTTATTTACTAAGGTTTTTATGCAGAAAGTTAAAATGCTGTTAGAGTCTCGGTGTAACTGGTAGCCACAGGTGGTTGACTCACCACTCACCCACCACCTGACTATAGCAGGCGTCTTACACAGAAACACAAAGACCTAACTACATTTACAATTTTGTTGGGGCAAAGTCCCCAAGCTTGGTGATGGATTACCAAGAGGGACTAAATGGAAGAAGGTGGGATGTCGCAGTAACCATTCTTGGGCTCGTGGGGTGGGTGGGTGTCCTGGAGTTTGTATCACAGCTACGTTTTTTGTTTTTGTTTTGTTTTGTTTTTTAAACAGCTACTAAATTCATGGGCAGTCCAGCCAATGAACAGTTCTGTTTTTGCAGGTTATTTGGGGTCTTCATCATTTTCTTTTTTAAAAGTTAAGTCTATACACCCGGGTGTGGTGGTGCACACCTGTAATCCCAGCACTTGGGAGGCTGAGGCAGGAGGATCCTTTTGAGTTTGAGACCAGCCTGGGCTACAAAGTGAGCTCAAGGCCAGCCTGAACTGCATAGCAAGACCTTGTCTGAAAAAAAAAAAAAAAAAAAAAAAAAAGTCTATTTTAATCATTTTTGTCGTCTGTTTCTATAATCCCCTTTACATGTTTTCTGCTCTCTTCCTTCCTCTCCTGCTCCTCCTAAGTGTATCATGTGCATGTTCTTCCTACTGACTGCATTTTCTTCCCCTTCTCCATCTCCATCCTCCTCTTCATCACACTCTCTCTTCACTGTCCTTGTCTTCCTTGTCATCTCCTTTGTCCCTCCTATTCATCTACCCCGTCCACCTCTGTGTGTGAGTCCGGGGCTTCCTGGCCCTCTCTGTCATAGCTGTCCAGGTAGCTCAGTCTATCAGTAGTCACTCAGGTTGGTGACTTGCTAGGTAAACAGATCCAGTCTTTTCTGACAATCCAGTTTTTCCAAAGATTCCAAGGTGCTGCTATCTTTCAGTTTATTTACCATCACTGAGCTCAAGCTTTTTCAATTTAAATAGCTTGGGGAGGGCCTGGGGATTTAGCTCAGCGGCAAAAGCGCCTGCCTGGCAAGCGCAAGGTCGTGAGTTCGGTTCCCGGTACCAGAGAAAAACCAAAAAAGAAAAGAAAAGAAATAGCTTGGGGAGATTTGAGGCTAAAATCAGACATTTATTAAACCAAGGAATTCTTGAGGTTCACAGATTCAGCTGTTAAACCCTCAGTTTTTTTGTCATTTGATTTGCAGTTGTCCAAGACCAGTTCTCGACCAGTGGCTGGGTCTGATTCCTCAGCTCCAGGTGGAGCCTCTTTGTCATAGCTGTGTTCCCCTCATCTCCCCTCCTCCTGCTTCACTGTCTGAGGCCAGGGCGGGATGTCCGTGTGGTCTGGGCAGTGGGAGGGTAAATGAGCAGAGCCCCAGAGCCACGTTCCTCATGGGAGCAGCAAGAGACTGTGGAGGGGAAAAACAAACGAAACACATACTCTTGTTGGTGGCTATCTAGGAGTGTTTTATAGACACGTTTCATAGGTGTTTAATGTATTCACATTGTTACACAGTCATAACCACCCTCTGCTTTCAGGCTGTTTGTATTCGCCTAAGCACCTGTACCCGTTCAGGAGTCACTCTGTATCACAGTGTGGCCCAGCACCTAGCAACCAGATCTGCTCTTGCCTCTGGGTTTGCTGTGTGGACAGTGTGTGTGAACAGAATTAGTATAGTCGGTGGCCACTGTCATCTGACTTCTTTCAGGCAGTGCAGCTTTCATGGTTCATTAGTGTTAAAGTCTGTATAAGCACTTCAATTCTTACTGTATCTGAGTAGTATTCCATTGTGTAAATAACGCCGTATGTTCCTGATTCTTTCCTTAGTTGGTGGACATTTAGGTTGTCTGTTTCTGGCTGTGGTTATGAGTCACGCTTCTGTGAATATTGGTGCACTGTTTTGTTTTTTTTTTTTTTTGGCTTTTCTCCGGTACCGGGAACTGAACTCACGACCTTGCGCTTGCCAGGCAGGCACTTTTGCCGCTGAGCTAAATCCCCAGCCCCTGTGCACTGGTTTTTGTTTGTTTTATTTTAAAAATTAAACTGACAAAACAACAATAAAGACAAAATCAGAAAAACACAAAAACAACAAAAATGTTACATGACCTCAAAACAGCAATAGGAATTAAGAGTGTTGCTGCTACATTACACACTGTTACCTTCAGCAAAGCTGCTCAGTCCACCAGACATGAGTGTAAGATTGATCAAATAGTCAAAGACAGTACTAAGTAATAAAAACAAACAAAACCAACATTGGAAAGATGCAGAGCTTCACCATACAAGATGGTAGGAGTTCAACAGTGGTTCTTACACGTGTATTGTTGTTTTCAGATCAGTCATTCTGATTCCCAAATTCAAGTGTGCAAAATTGGTCAAGAAAAAGAAAATTTTAAGCATTGACTGTTCCTTTCAATAAACGACAGACATCAATACACCTATTCTAGCTTTCCTTACATATACATTTTGTTTTTCATTTAAGAAAAAACCCAAAACAACAAAAACAAATACATAAACCAGTATAGTGAGCTATAAAAATGATACAGAGTTTCAAAACATGGTGATAGGATAGTAACAATGGTTGTTACATCACATAATGTCATCTTTAAAATGGTTGCACATATAACCAGATACAGGCATGCAAGATTGATCAAATAGTTACACATTAACAGTTCCTTGTGCAGATGTATATTTTCATTCTTTGTGGTATATACCTGTAAGTGGGATTGCTGGATCGTGCAGTGATTTCAATTTGATGAACTGCTGCTCTTCAAAAGCGGCTACACCATTTATTTTCCCACCACCAATGAAAAGGGTTCCAGTTTCAGTGACCTCCTCACCAACACTTGCTTTTATTTCTTTTTATGTCCATGCTTGCAGTAGATAATGAAATCTACTCCATCTCTTGATCCCCTTCTCATTTGAGAGGGATCTATCTCCCTTGTTCCTGTTAACTTTTAATTTGCTCTTCATCAATCTGGGTTTCTCATAAGAAAAGGTATGTGATAGTTAAGTTTATGTGTCTGGTACTTAACATTATGGTCTCAAGGTACATCCATTTCCCTAAAATCACTCAAGCTTTTTATCTTTATGGCAGAGTAGAACTTCACTGTATGTAAATACATTTTCTTGATTCCTCCAGCTGTTGATGGGCATATAGGCCACTTCCAAGATTTAGCTATTATGAGTTGTGCTGCTATAAATAAACATGGTGTGCATGCGTCGCTGCAGTATGATGTCTCTAAGTCTTTCAGGAAGATATCTAGAAGAGGAACAGCTGGGTCAGATGGAGCTTCCAGTTTTAGTGTTTTAAGGAATCTCCATTTCTGATTTCCGTAGTGCCTGTACTAGTTTACATTCCCACCAGCAATATAGAAGGGTTCATTTTCCCTCGTAAGTCTTGCCAGCATTGTTACTTGACTTAGTGATGATGGCTATTCTTTCTAGGGTAAGGTGGCATCTCTGTTGTTCTCATTTGCATTTCTTTCATGGCCAGTGATGTTGAACATTTTTTCTTTTTTTCCTTTTCTGTCTCTGTCTGTTTTTTGAGGCAGGGTTTCACTGTGCAGTTCCGGCTAGCAATGAACTCACTTCATAGTCCAGGCTGACCTCGAACTCATGGTGATCCTTCTGCCTCAGCCTTCCGAGTGCTGGGGTTACAATTATAGTGTGTGCCACCATGCTTGGCCAAACACTTTTTTCATGTACTGGCCCTTTGTACTTCTGTGTGGTGTCTGTTCCTCTTGCCCATTTTTGACTTAGTCTCTCTCTCTTTTTTTTTCTTTTTTTTTTTTTTTTTTTGGTACTGGGAATTAAACTCAGGACCTTGCACTTGCCAGGCAGGTGCTTGTGCCACTGAGCTGTATCCCTGGCCCTGGTCTGTTATTTTGGATGGTCTTTTTTTTTTTTTTTTTTTTTAATTCTTTGTGTATTAGTCATCTGAGAAATAGCTGAAAGAATTTTTTTTTAAAGAATGGTAAAGGCTGCTTTATTGGTGGCAGTTAGTAGAAGTCAATAAATATTGATCCCCAAAGAAGGGCATAGTTATCATATTACTGGTCCAGAGAGCTGACCAAACTGAACCACATGATTGCTGGTTTGACTGAAGTCATTCGGCTTCTTGGGAATTGATGCCATAGCCAGCTGATACATGGCACACTCAGTTCCATGCGCTGTAAGAGTCACAGTGGCTTTGTACAGAGGTGGTCAGCTACCTCCCCTTTAGGTGCGCTGGAATTCATTGTCCTCCTGAAACAGCTTTTGTTTCTGTAGAACTTTATTTGTCAAGTGCCTGCCTGAAGCAGTGCTGCTGGTCCTCTGGGCAGTCTGTCGGAGAGCACGCAGGTTCCGCAGCATCTTGACTGGTTACTGCCCACCGAATGTGCCATCTGACCGCCAGGAACCCAGCATTTTTTCCCCATTCTGTAGGTTGTGTTTTCACTATGGTTGTTTGTTTTGCTGTGCAGAGCTTTTTAATTTGGTAATCCTTTTTGCTGATTTTTGCACAGGAACTGTTTTCTTTTCATTTTTCTTTTTTTTTTTTGGTCTTTTTGAGACAGGGTCTTGCTATGCAGTTCAGGCTAGCTTTGAGCTCACTTAGTAGCCCAGGCTGGTCTCAAGCTCACAACAATCCTCCTGCCTCAGCCTCCCAAGTGCTGGGATTACAGGCGTGCGCCACCACACCCGGCACAGGAACTGTTTTCTGTGTGGCCAGGGTTCTGTTCACTTGATCTTTGCCGGAAAGCCAAGAAGCTCCGGGTTCTGTGCAGAAAGCCCTTGACTGCACTTAAGACGAGAAGAGTTTTACCCCTTTTGCCTTCCTGCCAGTTGTTTCTAATTTAACATTTGGTTCTTTGATCCATTTTGATGTTAGTGTGTGGTGAGAAATACGGGTCTAGACTCACTCTTCTGCCAGTGTATGGCCAGTTTTCCCAGCACTGTTTATTGAAGAGGCTATCTTCCTCCAGTGTGTCAAAGGTCAAAGAGTTGAATGTGCTTGTTTCTGCATTTTCTTTTCTATTCCATTGATCCACGTGTCTGTTTTTGTGCCTGTACCATGCTGTTTTTATCACTGTAGCTTTGTAATATAACTTCAGGGGCTGGCCAGGGTTATAGCTCAGTGGCATACGTGCCTGCCTGGCAAGGACAAGGTCCTGAGTTCAATTCCTGGTATATATCTTCAAGTCTGGGACTATGGTGTCACCTGCTTTGCTCTTGTCACCTAGGAATGTTTCTGCTATTCTATCAATTTTGAGAGTATACCATTTTGACTATATTGGTTCTGCCTTTCCAGGAACAGGGTTTTACCTTTCCACTTTCTTTTCTCTTTTCTTTTCTTTGCCTTTTTTCTTTTCTTTGCTTTTCTTTCCTTCCTGTCCCTTCCCTTCCCTCTGTCTCTGTCTCTATCTCTCTCTCTCTTTCTTTGTCCTTTGTCCTCCCTACTTTCTGCTCTTTCTCTCTCTTTCTTTGGTTCTTTGAGACAGGGTCTCACTATGTAGCCCAGGTTGGCCTCAGACTTGCTGCTGTCCTCCTGCCTCAGCCTCCCTAGTGCTGGGATTACAGGTGTGTGCCACCATGCCTGGCTTTTTTTTTTTCCCCCTTTCTTTTTTGGAGACAGGGTTTCACCAAGCAGTTCAGGGTGGCCTTGAACTCACTTTGTAGCCCAGGCTGGCCTTGAACTCACAGCGATCCTGCCTCAGCCTCCCAAGTGCTGAAATTGCATATGTACACTGATGAGCCTGGCTTTTTTTTTTTCCCCCTTTCTTTTTTGGAGACAGGGTTTCACCAAGCAGTTCAGGCTGGTTTTGAACTAGCAGAGATCCTCCTGCCTCAGCCTCCTAAGTGCTGGGATTACAGGCGTGTGCCACCATGCCCAGATCTTTCCATTCTCTAATGTCCTCTTTTTTTTTTTTTTTTTTTGGTTTTTGGTTTTTCTCCGGTACCGGGAACCGAACTCACGACCTTGCGCTTGCCAGGCAGGCACTTTGCCGCTGAGCTAAATCCCCAGCCCCTCTAATGTCCTCTTTAGTTTCCTTTTTTTGAGTACTGTAGTTTTCCTTGTGGGGGTCTTTCACTTTAGGTTTATTCCTTTATTTTATTGTATTCATCCTAGCAGAGGTATCTCCTTTTGACTTTTTTTTTTTTCTTCCTTTTTGAGATAGGATTTCATTCTGCAGTTCAGGCTGGCGTTGAACTCAGGACAATCTTCCCACCTTAGCCTCTCAAGGGTTGGGATTACATGATTGTGCTGCCCTGCCTGGCACTTGGGCTGGCCTTAAATTTGGGATGCTCCTCCCTCAGCTTCCTGAGGAGCTGAGCTTACAAATGTGTGCCATCATGACCAGCTTACGGATTTTTTTTTTTAAATGAGTTACCTTTTAATTTTATTTTTGGGTTGTACTTCGTTACTGTGGATACTGGACCCTTAATACATGATTCACAAATATATAGATACATTTTTCTGAGACAGGCACTCACTGTGCAGTTGAGGCTGGCCTGGAACTCATGGCATGCTTCAGCCTCCCGAGTATTGGGGTTATAGGTGTGAACTGCTGTGCTGGTGCAAATATTTTTGAAGAGGAATTATTTAAATGTTGAGAGTAAGATCTAAGCTCCTTCAGTTTCATAAAGGGGGACTATACTGTGATTCTGTGGTCAGTGTTGATATACATAACTGGTATTTTCTTTTGTGTGGAAGGGATGAGGATGCCCCTGCTAAGATTCCAGATGAAGAGGCCACAAAACCTGAAGGCTGGTTAGATGATGAGCCCGAGTATGTACCTGATCCAGATGCAGAGAAGCCAGAGGACTGGTAAGAGGCTTAGTGTTCACTTTTTTTTTTTTTTTGTCTTTTTGAGACAGAGTCTCACTATGTAGTTCAGGTTGGCCTTGAGCTCACTTTGTAGCCCAGGGTGGTCTCAAACTCACAGTGATCCTCCTGCCTCAGCCTCCTGAGCGCTGGGATTACAGGCGTGCATCACCACTCCTGGCTAGTGTTCACTTTTTAAATTTCCTTGTTTTTTATTAAAATAAAAGTTATTACTTAAGTACAGTCAAGTGCCCAAACTTAAAGGGAGGGAGTGCTCTATAAATTTAATTGCATTTCATGGTGATTTTTACAATGTATCCATTTTAAGAAGCTGTCCTTACTAGAAATGAGAAGCAAGAAGATGGTGTTCTACAAGACTCAGAGAACGCATTTCAGCCAGATCTGGGCAGTGCTGGGCTGAGTACATGTCCACAGTGCTGCCCCTCAGAACCTATTTGTAATTTGTTTTGTGCTTCCCTGCAGGGATGAGGACATGGACGGGGAATGGGAGGCCCCGCAGATTGCCAACCCTAAATGTGAGTCGGCCCCTGGCTGCGGGGTCTGGCAGCGACCTATGATTGACAACCCCAATTATAAGGGCAAATGGAAGCCTCCTATGATTGACAACCCTAACTACCAGGTTTGTGCTTCTTGATGGTTGAGCTGCTTTCATTAATCCGTTTGTATCTGGACAGAAGTTTTGTCTGCAGCAAGGCTGCCAGGTTGATCACTGTTCAGACTGCTGAACTAAAAGCAGGAAGTAAGCCAAATGTAGTGGTATAGGCCTGTGATCCCAGCAAGCACTCAGGGATGCTGAGGCTGAAGATCTGCTTGGGAAATTTAGTGACTTACTGAGCTACTGTCTCAAAAACTGTTTCATGCCTGTTAATACTAGCACCCAGGAGGCTGAGGCAGACAGATCGCTGTGAGTTCGAGGTCGACCTGAACTAGGGAGAAAGACCCCCCCAAAAAAAATAAAAATAAAATACAAAAGGGCTGGAGATGTAGCTCAGCATGAAGGCCCCTGCTTCAATCATTAGTGCCACCAAAAGAAAAAGAGCATTTAGTGGGTTAAGAGGGACAGAGAAGCCAGGTGTGGCAGTGCGTGCCTGTCACCCCAGCGGCTGGGGAGATCAAGATAGGATTATAAGTTAGAATCCGGCCTGGGCAACTTAGTGAGACCCTGTCCCAAGATTCTGTGATAAAGCAGGCTGGGATTTTAGTTCTGTGGTAGAATGTTGACTTAGCATGTACAAGGCCCAATATTTAACCCCCAGTACCTTTCCACAAAAGTGTTGTGACAGACTAGAAACTGGAGAGATAAGCTTTCATACTTTGTAACTCATGTTTAAGGACAGAAAAGAAAGACATAAGGAGAAAAGTGGAAAATAAAAAGAGAAATGGTGAGCTTGTAATTTGGATACCTCAGCCACAGGATCCATATCTCGAGATTGGCAATTTGTGTGACATGAGGGTGGAGGACTGCAATAGGAGTTGACACCTTCAACTCTTAGCTCATTTCTAGGCCTCAGTATCTTCACCAGTGAAATGAGTAAGGCTCATGTGAGCTGATACCACTACGTCTAGTGACCTTATGAAGTGCCAGCTTTACTGTGGAAATGTGCATCCACTCAGATCCTTGTCTGTTGCTGTTTCTAATCTAGTAAAACTATAATCACTGATCTCTGCTCAGTCAGAATTTAAAATGTGTGGTGTAGGGCTGGAGATTTAGCTCAGTGGCACAGTGCCAATGAGTTTGATTCCCAGTACCAAAGAAAAATAAGGTGTAAGTTTGTTTATATATATATGTTTTTCTGTCGTAAAATGTATTTTTTAAATTGTGTACTCAGACAAAATAAAATACAAATTGCACTTAAACACATGGGAGGCTTAGGCACAGTTGTGAGCTCGAGGCCAGCCTGGGTTACTTAATGAGACCTGTCTTAAACAAAAAGCAGGCTGGGTATGGTAGCACATGCTTCTAATTCTAGCAGAGGGGAGGCTGAGGCAGGAGGGTCACTGTGAGTTTGAGAGCAGCGTAAGCTACATAGTAAGTTTGTGAGACCCTTGCTGTCTCAAAAATAAAGAAAGACCAAAAAAAGGAAACAAAAATTGCACTTAAGAATATTGCCCTTTAGCTCTTCTGTTGGTGGTCATTTAGGTGCGTTGCCACTTTGCTTTTATCTTCAGTGCAGCAGTCAGTAATCATCCTTGTACCTTCTGAGGGCACAGTTTTTTGAGGTAGTTGTCCAGAAGTGAGTTGCTGGTTGAAGATTACATGTGTCTTTTTAAAGTCACCACTGAGAAAATCTGTTCTGACATAGGCTCCCACTCCCTGTAGCCATTGAGAAGAGTGGAAACTCTTGGAAAGGCTGGGTAAAATGAAGATGTAAGTTTGGAACAGGGTCACAGATAGTAAAAATTGAAAGTAGTTGGAGTCCAGAAACCTAGGAGACAAAGTATGTTTGGAAAAAAATACCTCTGGGTATGGTGCCGCATGCCTGCGATCCCAGCATTTGGGACACTGAGGCAGGAAGATTGCCATGAGTTCAAGACCAGCCTATACTACAAGACAAGACCTTGTATGAAAAACCTTTTTTTAAAAAAAGGTAGCATTTGATAAAGTCAGTATTTATTAACATTGGTCATGCAGAATTAATCTTAGTTTTTGTTATCATTACCCGAAATAATTTTTTGAAACTTTTTTTGAAGGGAATTTGGAAACCAAGGAAAATACCAAACCCAGATTTCTTTGAAGATCTAGAACCTTTCAAGATGACTCCATTTAGTGCTATTGGTTTGGAGCTGTGGTCCATGACATCCGACATCTTTTTTGACAATTTCATCATTAGTAGTGAGCGAACCGTCGTTGATGATTGGGCCAGCGATGGTTGGGGCCTGAAGAGAGCTGCTGATGGAGCCGCTGAGGTTCGTCCTTGCTTGTTTCTTGTGTCTTTACATTTCTTACAGGTAATTCATTGTGTTGTGAAAAGCTCTCCTTTAGGGTCAGTTCCTCCCTTATTTGGGAATATTGTCATAAAAATGTGACTGTCTACTAAGGAAAAAACACTGGGTTTTTGGATATGATTTTATTAGTCTAAGGTAGTGACCTAAGAATTTGTATTTGCATTATGTTCAGGGTTTTCTTTTAATGTATGTCAAAATTTGTCATTTAGGGTGTGTTATAATGCACTTTTAAGATGTTGAATCTCTGCTTACTCCACATACAGAGTTTTCAAACAGTCAGGTGACTGAGCTAAGTATTAGAAGGCCAGCGATACTGAGATCAAGACATTCATGTTGGAGGTGGTGACGCACACTTACGGGGCCGAGGCAGGAGGATCAGGAGCGTGAGGCCAGCTTGGCTGCATAGGAAGGCCCTGTCTCAAGGGAAATCCAGTTCTTCATAGGCGGGGTCTATAGCTTTGCAGCTGCGCACACACGTAGGTCCTAGTGGTGGCAAACCTTTTGGAGCTTTAGTGACACAGCCCACTGTGGCACGTGTGCCATGGGTTCACCACCACTGCCTGGGTTCTGTCCCAGCACCGAAAAGTCTTCACACCTGGTTCCTGAGTTAAGGGACCCTTTTCTAGGTAATTAAGAAGCCAGCTTTTTTTTTTTTTTTTTTTCTTTTGTCTTTTTTGAGACAGGGTCTCGCTGTGCAGTTCAGGCTTGCCTTGAGCTCACTTTGTAGCCCAGGCTGATGTCGAACTCAGAACGATCCTCCTGCCTCAGCCTTCTAAGTGCTGGGATTACAGGCATGTGCCACCACGCCCGGCTCAAGAAGCCAGCTTTTTAACTTGTGAAAATAATGTCCTGTGATACTGAGAACAGGAAAATGGAAGCTTTTCTTCAATTTTCAGTTTGGCCTAAACTCTGAAAAGGGGGAGCCTCTGGAGCGCCATACAATATCTAAACAGTGGGCCAAGTAGTACCTCTGTACCTGCTGTCAGAAGCCAGAACTTCCCGTCACTGCTGCCTTGTTTTTCAGCCAGGCGTCGTGGGGCAGATGCTTGAGGCGGCTGAGGAGCGCCCGTGGCTCTGGGTGGTCTACATTTTGACTGTGGCTTTGCCTGTGTTCCTTGTAATCCTCTTCTGCTGCTCCGGAAAGGTAGGAATTTCTTTTACAGTCACTTTTAGAATGAACTCTTACGTTGTTAGAAATAACTAAGATATTTTGCCTGAGGTTCTTTTTGTAGCAGCTTGGTAATGACTGAGCCACATTTTGAATTGACTCTGAAACCTTATTCATCCATTGTGTATGCCCAAGTGGGAGCAGGACTTCTAGGCCCCCAGTTGCCAACATTATGTAGTCTATACTGTTACTTTCCTTAATATTGGTGCAGTGTTTCTTAAGGGGAAATACAAAGCTGGTCACAAACCAGCTCTTCCTCCTGCCATGGCTGTTTCTATTGTTACACTTTGTAATTTGATCTTGCATTTTTCATTCACTGTTCCCCAGTTCTGCCCATCTTCTCAGTAAGGCCCTTGTGTGGGCCCTAGTGTGCGTTTTTCTTGTTTAGCTCTGTTGCGTGCTCTCTGCTTCTCTAACGGAGGATTGTGCTTCACCTTGGATCCATAGCACTTCGTAACCAGGTTCAAAGTTCCTTTCCCAGTCTTACCTCCACCTCTACATCAGTCCTCCTGACAAGCTAGATCTGTAGTCTCCTGTCTGACCCTTCGTTCTTACCATTTCTTCTACCTTGGACCACACACACACTCACTTAAGAGAAAGTTCTTCAGGGTGGAAACAGTATCTTCCTCATTTTTGTATATGTACCCCTATATACAGCCTGATAAAAACTTTCTGTAGGCATTCAATAATCATAGGATAACATAATACATGAAAATGGGAATAAAACTGGTGGACTTCGGGGCGAATATTTCAGAAGCAGTCCAATGCCATGGAATACAAGAAGACTGATGCTCCTCAACCAGATGTGAAGGAGGAGGCAGAGAAGGAGGAAGAGAAGGATAAGGGAGATGAGGAGGAGGAAGGGGAAGAGAAGCTTGGTAAGTCGTCCCTCCAGAGTCATGGAACAAAGAGATGAGACTAATGTGTTAATTTGAAAGCCTGATAAACAAGTTCAAGCAAAGAATTTTAGATGATGCTAGTTGTCTTAATTACTAAAACCAAATGTGTGAGGTTTTGCTCAGTTTAGCTTTTTTAACTTTTATTTTAGAAGAAAAACAAAAAAGTGATGCTGAAGAAGATGGTGGCACTGTTAGTCAAGAGGAGGAAGACAGAAAACCTAAAGCAGAGGTAAAATAAAGGGGGTAATATCTTTTTTTTTTTTTTTTTTCTTTTTTGGTACCAGGAATCGAACTGAGGACCTCACACTTGCCAGGCAGGTGCTTGTGCTGCTGAGCTATATCCTCGGCCCAATATCTTTTATATTATAAGCAACTGAGTTGAAGGTACATTTAAGTAAAGGGAATTTTTTTTTTTTTTTTTTGGGTCTTTCTGAGACAGGGTCTCGCTATGCAGTTCAGGCTGGCCTTGTGCTCACTTTGTAGCCCAGGCTGATCTTGAACCCACACCCAGCCCAAAAGGGAATATTTTCATAAGTAACTTACAGTGCTTATGACAGTAAAAAATTCCTTTAAAGACAATTTTGTTAAAGTGGATTCTTGGTTTAGGTCAGTGTTTTATTTGATAATTTTAAACTACATCTGAATCTCAATTATTTTTCTGTGCTGAAAATAGTCTTGTAGAATAAACAGTAGGTTGTAGGGAGAAATAATGTTTTCCAAAGTAAGAACGTCCAAGTTTTGTACCAATCTTGTCTTATCATCCTTTCTTGATTGTCCCTCAAAGTATTTCTTGCACAATCACTGCATTCTATACTGTTGTCCCTGCTGTCCATGGAGTCATCCATTTATTCATTTGACAAATACCATATTTGTTGAGTGCCTACTGAGTGCCACACGTTAGTGAACCAAAGGTACCCTGTCTTTGGGGAATTTCAAGTGTAGTACAGGGTAGCAAAACAAGAAGTAGACATTGAAAAAGAAAAGAACAGCTGGGATGGGGGAAAGGAGAAAATAAGGGGAAAAAAATGTAAATATATATGTATGTGTATACACACACACACACAAAGAGCTAAGATAATTGTACTACTAATTTCTGTTTATTGAAAGGACCAGTTACTGATTGTATTTTTTTAACTTTAAAGTTACTGCTTATATTGTTTGATCAATTTTACATGCCTGTATCTGGTAACCTGAGCAACTACTTTGAAGATAACAATATGCAATATAAGGGGCTGGGGATTTAGCTCGGTGGTGTAAGCGCCTGCCTGGCAAGTGCGAGGTCATGAGGTGGATCCCCAGTACCGCAAAAAACAAAACAAAACAAAACAAAACAATGTGCAATATAATAACCATTGTTAATTTCCTATCTTGTTTTGAAATTCTGTATTGTTTTTATTTTTTTATTCTCTTTAAAATAAGTAGACGTTGAAAATATGTGACTTAGTATATTAAATAAGTTATCAAAGGTTAGGACAGGAAAATAGTGAAAGTGCTGGATGTGGCATGGGTCACAGTGTTAAAGAACTCCTTGAGCCCAGCTTGTTCATGCTGGTAATCCCCACGCTCTGGGAGGCCGAGGTAGAAGGATTGCAAGTTTGAGCCCAGCTTGAGTAACTTAGCGAGATCCTGTCTCAAAACAAAAGAAGGTGCTGCAGATGAGAGGGGCCTCACAAGCCACCGTACAGACTTAGCTGTTCCTCCCAGGGATATTGGTAGCCATTGTGGGCTTTTGCACGCAGATATGACAGGTTCTGTTTACTGTGGCTGCTATGTTTTCTCTAGGCTGGGAGAATCAGGGAGACCAATTAGGAGGCTTCTCTAAAGATCCAGGCAAGCTATGGTGGCTCTGAGCGGGCTGACCAGAGAGAGGAGTGGGAGGACTGTCTGGGGTTCTGGGTCGGCCACTGTGGTAGACTGGACATACAGGGTGTGAGGAGGCAGCTAGCAGTGGGTACACTGTTGTTGGACCATGTGCCTTCTGTGGAGCACCTCTGTGTTGAGTCTGGTCTGTCTCACAAATCTCTGCTTGGGCTTCTTTTCCAGCGTTATCGCTGTTTTTCTTTTTTTTTCTCCCCCCTCCCCCACCCCGTACGGGAAATCGAACTCACGACTTTGGGCTTGCTGGGTAGGTCCTGTACCGCTGAGCTAATAAATCCCCAGCCCCTTCGCTGTTTTTCTAGTGGCAAAAATCAGTGCTGTTTCTATTGTGTTCATGTTTTCAGTGGATATATTCTGTCCCAACTAGAGTGTAGGTCTTGAATACAGGAAGCATGTCTCACTTGCTTTTTATTACTATTTTTATGGTGCTGCCGCAGAACCCAGTGCCTCAGGCATGCCTGGCAAGTCCTCTGTTGTAAAAGGGTGCTCTACAGTTAAGTAAGGGGAGTGATTTTCAACATGAAGAATCTGTGATAGAGCGGAAACAGCTCTAGTTTATAATCTACTTGGGTTGTTTGCAGTCTTCTTTTGAATTCTAGGTGTCTTATCCCCAAAATGGGCTGGTGGGCCTCAGGCGAGTAGTTTGTTTAGGATTAAGTCAAGGTGTGTTTTTGTAAAACAAAAGAGACAGAAACTAACATAGAATATTTGTAACTCCACTACTTTGGAGACAGTATTTCTTTATTGGTGACACATTTTCTTCTAATAATTTTTCTTCTGTTTATCCTCAAATGTGTTGCTCTTTACCTGATTTTGGAAATTTGGTGAGCTTTCATGTCTTTTTAAATGTGCTAATCACAATGAATTGCTTTTCTTTTCAACCAATAGGAGGATGAAATTTTGAACAGATCACCACGAAACAGAAAGCCACGAAGAGAGTGAAATGATCTTAAGAACTCGATCTGTGATTTCTTCTCCCTCCCCTTCCCTTGCAAGTGTGGTCCTAGGAGAGGACTGGCCTGCCTTAGGTTGACACTCAGAAACCTCCGACGTCACCATCAACAGGTTCCAGCTGAATACTAGTCTGTGTAACCTAAACATCTAGCAGTAAATAATTGCAGTTGTGACATAAAGGAAGGACCCTGTTTCTGTAGAAAACATTTAACATAATGGTTGTGAAATGTAACATGAAGCAACTAACTTGTGTTTTTTGTTTTGTTTTTAAACACCTTTTTAAAATAGAATCATAAAACCTTGCCAGTCTAAAATTTTGGCTTAATTGAATATATTAATCTGTCTGCAGAAATAACACCAACATTTAGAAATACTAGTGGAATGAATTTCATTTTTTATAACAATTTTTTTTTAAGTTTGGTATTAAAAAACATTTAAATGTCTCTGTCCCTTAAAATTGATAATCATGTTTAAAGTACAGTCATCTGTGATTATAATGTTATTTTGCTTGCTTCCATTACTCAATTCCTCCTAAGGAAATGGAGGAGGGATTGGACGGAAGCCCAAATTTATATAAAAGTTTTGTTTAAGTTGTATTAAAAACAGACATATAAAAATATACCTTTTCACTTGATGCTGGTTAGACCATAAAGTACGTGTGTTCTGTAGCCCTTGGAACTGCTCAGTTTCCAGAGCGCTTTGCAGTTAGTGGAGGAGGTGGCCTAATGGAGCACTTGGGCATTCACACTTCACGCACAGGGAGGCTCTGGGCTTGGCCTTTGGAGCAGGTGGCTTTTTAAGGGTTGCTGACAGGGTATGTGAGCTCCAGAGTAGATGTTTCATCACTTGTCCACTGTGTTGACACTGTTTTCCTCACCTGTTCTCCCAGTTCCCCGCTTTCTCCTCTGCTATGCATTGTCTTCACAGCGCAGCTTGCAGTCCGTTGCTGAAAATGATTATAAAGCTCTGCATAGTGTTAAGCTTTATTGTGATTACATGTATATTTCTTTGCTTTTTTTTTAACAGATCCATACCTTTCCAGGGTCAAAGTACAGGATAGAATATAAACTCTGATACTTTTTTTTCCATTTCTTTAATTCTGTATAAAGACTTCAGAAGTCTAATCCAGAGGTGGGCCAATTCAGAGTTGACTGTAATTGAACACAGGCTAAAAGTATTTATGGGAGGAGTGATATATAGCATGAATTAATCTGATTTTTGTAGAATATTTTAAGTCTTTATTTGCTGTTTGTGTGTTAAATTTACACAATAAAGCAGTCCTGTTAATTTTTTTTTAATGTGGCTTGAATGTTTTTGAGAAGCGATTTTAGGTTTTTTCACGTGGAATGCAGATGGGTGCTATCAGAGTCTCTTCCTTATCACTGTAGTGTAATAAGGTCGTTATTACACCACCCTGAAATGTATTCAGAAACAGAAGTTGTTTCAGCTTTATTCTTTGTTTGGAGGTGTTTCAACTGTCCTGATGATGCTGTTCCTTGCACTGAATATATAGACACTCCATGGTGTTTATAGTGGGGAGATTTTGAGGAGGAACTACATTTGTAAAAGGTGAAGGCGGTACCCATTTTATCTTTTTTTAAAACACTGGTTCATTATTAATTTTTTTAGAGGGTGGGAAGCATTTTTCTTGCTGTTTAGTGCTTTATCCTTCTCATCTGTTGTTCTGTGGTCACAGTGATCTTAGCTATGTCGCAGACTTTCCCAAATGTATTGAGTGCAAATAAACAGTTATTTAGTAAGACCCGAAAATGTCTGCAGGTTTCTCCTTGAAGCAAATGTGTGGGGATTGTTGCATTTCTGATAATCTGCTTTCTTCATTCTCCATTAACGTTGTATTTCATGCTGGCTTTCTTGCTGCTGAGCTATAAAATGACAGGTTAAAATCATTCGTGTTCATTGCCTTTGTAGATTATTTGGCAGAATTTTTCAAAACAAAAACAACACCTTCCGTCTTTTTCTTTCCAGTGTTTAAGATGGAGCTTCCTGGTTAAATGTGTGAAACATCTGTTAATGACTAGCAATTTTCAGCTCTCAAATAGGTACCTATGTTCAGATTTTACATGCTGGTTGCTTGTCCCCATGATTGTAAAATGCCCATTCTGAATCAGATGTGTTCCTCTGTTTTTTCTTACCCACAAAATCCTCTTCACTAGTTTCAGATTGTCTCTTACTAAATGATGTTACATTAAAGCCCTGTGTTAAGTGTCTGCTTTTGACTGAACTTCTTCATAGTAACCTTCCATAGGTGGTGTATTGTTTAATAGTAGGTTCATCTTCCTTTCATTGGCTATTCTCTGAGAGCTTGCTAATATGCAGAAATTTATGAATGATGAAATAATTATTATCTCAGGTGAGTTTGATTCACTCTCCTATTTATTCAGGTCTGGCCTCTGGTTCAGTGATATCTTTTGTATAGTAGGAATAGTAGCTTAGAAAAGTAGGTCATGCTGCTAGATACTCTTTAAGATGTACGGGAACCATTTGTATAGGAACACTCTGTAGTTGCTTTTATTCAGAGCTGGGGTGTAGATCAGTGGTAGAGCACTTGGCTAGCATATGAGGCTATGGGTTTAATCCCTAGTACTGCCCTCCCCCCCAAAAAAAAACACAGGATAGAGTTTCTGTTGTAAATTTTATGTTTTAAGACCAATAAAAGATAGGACTGGATTTTGGCTTTCAAGATCTCTAGGCACTTTCGCCTTCTAGCCCACCTCCTCCACTAAAAATAAAGTTTGTACTTTGCTACTGCGTTTGTATAAAAACATTTTAGTGTTCATTTTTCTGATTTTAAAATAAAACCTTTTCACAAGCCCTAGTAAGTTAGAAAGTGCAAAATGAGCTGCTGTGGTGTCCTCCAGGGTGTTAGCCTTTTTAGCAACTAGGACAGCACCCTCTCTTCGCGTCCCCGGCCGCACACCCGTCTTAGCACCGACGCCGCTTCCGCTCCGCACCCCTCTTGGCGTGCGGGCGGAGCCGAGGGCCGGGTCGGGTCGCGGGGCCCCGCGGGGCTTGGCGCTTGGCCTCGCCCTCCATCCGCTCTCCCGCGCGCCGTCACCGCGCCCCCACGCCAGGACGAGTGGGAGCCGACGCCCGGGGGTCGGTGCTGCAGGAGGAAGCCGCTGCCATCGCGACAGTTCCGACCGGGCCGGGGCTTCGCTTAAGCGGTGCAGGGGCGGAGGCGGCTGCCGCTGAGCTGGCGTGGCTGCTTGGGGTTTCGGCAGCGCTAAACGTAGCGCGGGCAGACGGGGCGCAGCCTCCTGCGGCGGGCGCCGGCTCCCGCCAGCTACCGGCGCCGCGCTTTCCTAGCCCCGGAAGGGCGCTCCTGCGCGGTGCGCGGGGTGGGGAGGGCACTTCGGTCGCCCGGCGGTCGGGCTCCTGTCACTCACAGCCGGCCCCGCCCAGGGGCTTCCCTTCGCCCGGCGCTCCAGAGTTCCTTTTAAATACAGTACCGCAGCGCCCTGCTTACGTGCTGGTCCCCACGCCCTCGTGCGGCGTGTTCTTCATCTTCTGATTGGTCGAGGTTCCTGTCAGTTACCCGTGACTCTTGAGGTCGCCGGTCGTGGCCCCGCCCTCTTCCGAGAGCCCTGAAAACAATTTTAAGATGGCGGCGGCGGCGGCGCGGAAAACAATGGGGCCGGGGCGGAGGGGAGAGGCCGAGGCCTGAGGCGGGCAGCGAGCGCCGGCCCTAGTGGGGCCGAGCGGGGCAGGAAGAAG